TTTGCAGGGCAGAAATAGAGACACAGATGTAGAGAACAAACGTATGGACACCAAGCAGGGAAAGCCGCGGGGGGGGGGGGGGGGGGGGGAGGAATGTGAGGAGAGAGAAATAGGCACAGGGTGGAAAGCCAAAACATGAAAGCAAGCATAATTTTGTTTTGGACAACAGCCAAACTCCGATTTTGCCCCCAATAGATCACTCAGAGATTTACCATTAGAAAAGCGAAAGAATTTGGCATAGAAACAATATGAAACACATAAAAATCCATGTCTCATTCACATTTTCAGAACAATGCTCTGGATAGGAAACTGGCCTAAGTGTCTCCCAGACAGGGATAGTCCTAGGTTACTCATGACTAAGGTGTGATGTGCTCATGGCTGTGTGGATTAGAATGAATTCTGAAGACATTTTTTAAATTAAACTTTTAATTTTGTGTGTAGACGTAGATTCACTTGCAGTTGTAAGAGAGAACACAGAGAGATGGCGTGCACCCTTTACCCAGTTTCCCCCAATGGTAACATCTTGCAAAACTGTAGCACAGTATCAGAAAGAGGAAGGCACTTCTGAGGCCATTTCTAAACTTTCATGTTTCCTGTTTCTGCCGATAAAACCCTTATATCTTAGACCTTAGAACAAGTAAAGAAGAAACTCCTGGGTAACTTCTTTGATGGCGGAGATTTTCCAACACCAGGAAAGAACTGTGTAACAGCCATCTCAGAAGCCCGAGATATTTGTCAGTCCTTCAAGTCAGTAAATCAAATAATACCAAAATATTGAGCAGAAGAAAACAAAGCCTAGACATGTGATCGCTTCTACCTAACTGGTTTTGACCTGCTCTCTCAAACAGCCTATTCACGGCTGGTTTTAAAGATAAGCTCCAATTTCACTTACAACTCCAAGGCGTTAATGCCTTTTTCTCCTTCGCTATAAGTTCCAAGGTCAGAACGGTCCCTGGTAAGCCTCTTTCATTTGTTCAGGAGAAGGACCCTGAAAGAGCCATTACTCCTAAATCAAAATCACACACCACCACCCCAACCCTGGGGCCGAAACAGAAGATCCTTTATGTCAGTTATTCTCAACCTTGGCTTCAAATTAGTGTCCCCTGAGGAGTATATAAAAATCCTGATGCCCAGGCCTTACCCCAGACCAATTCCATCGGAATCCCTGGGGGTGGGATTAGTGTTTTTACGGCTCCCCAGGTGATTCTGTGTGCAGCCGAGATGGCGACCAGTGGCGTGTGTGATTGTGAACACTGTAGCAGACTTCTATATGGGAGAGAATTTTTCTTTGGAGCAGCTTTTAAGCAAATGTTTGGGGATCCCTGAGCTTAAGCAGATGTGGTCTCTCCCACGTCCTTCCCTTCTTGTCTCCTTTCCCGTTCTCCCACTCTCAACTATCACTCTCACCCCAAATAAAACCCCTCTTCTTCTTGGCCTCAGTTTCTCTGTCTGTAAAATAAAAGACTTAGATGAGGTTTGGGGAGGGCTGGGTTGGCCTCTGATCAAAAGCCCTGTGTTCCTTTTTTGTGTGTCTTGAATTGTTTTTCTCCCCTTATCATATGTCCAGGATCAGAGTCCCCGGTACCGAAGAACAGCTTTTCAATTCGTGTTCACCCTCATAAATCAGAGAACTCCTTGTACTTGCAGCTTATCCTGCGTCAGCAACCTTCCCTTTCAAATTCTAGCCCCGTCGAACCCCCTCCTTTCAGCATCAGTAGGACACCCACCAGCCAAACTGCCCTCTCTGTGTTCCTTTGGCAAAACTTTGCCAAACTCCAGAAAGGACAGAACAATCTGTAATGGCCTTTGTGGAATGTGAGTGATTGTGGCAGAAAGAGACATATGAGCCACTGTGGGAACGAAAAATATTTGCACTGAGAATCCTGTCTGTGCGCATGATGATAAATTGGTGCAAACTCTTATTTGTGTGAGTTTTTATAGCAATGCACCAGCATGGGCTCTCCTTAGATATAGGATAATGTTCTCTTTCTCGTACTTCAGCTCCTGTTCGCTCTTACCTTCTCTCACCCGTGCCTCCCCACCCCCTAACCATGAGAGTAATAATAATTCCCAAAGCTAAGTTTGCAACGTGTGTGTCTATGGAACATAACTAAAGTAAATGTTTTAGGGGATGGTGGGGTCAGGGGATCCCATAACTACCTTCTCAATGTTCCTTGCTATTTCTATCACTGAATATAAGGATATTCCTTTGTAATTGCCTGCAAAAGCTTCTTTCGTGGGACCCACCCCCTTCCCTTACCCCTGACAATTACCCCTAACACACAGTGTTATTGGGCTTTAAGCCTTAAGGTTCTATTCTTCATCTGTTCCATCCTCCTCTAACCCCATTCTACTTCGTCTCCTGGGCGAGGGGTGGGTAGCAGAATAGTGGGCTCATCGTGTGTCTTGAACCCTTGCTGAAAGAGCAATGATGGGGTTGTCTGTACTACAAGACTCTAAACTTTCATGAGGGACCGCAGCTTTCCTTCGTCCATTCAACAAGGCTTTGATGAGCACCTTCTAGATGCTGGACACTGTTCTAGGCACTGGAGATACAGCAGTGAACACAACAAAATTCCTCACCTCTGTGGAGCTGACATTCTAGTGCCATCCTGCACAGTCCATTCTTCTGTCCATAAAACGTCTGGGGTATCTGTGCCCTGATTTGTGCCCTCATGCCGTTGCCTGCGTTTGGAGTCTCAGTATCTGTTATCCAGACCAGACTCGCCTCCCACCTCTGCCTCCTATCCAGTTCACCGTACACGTTGTCAGGGCTCAATGCTTTTGAAACACAGTTCTGATTTTTTTACATACTTAAAAAACAAAAATCCCTGAAAGGCTTCTTCACCCTCACCTCTATTGCCTACCAAATAAAGTCCTCGCCTCTTAGCCTGTCATTGCAAGTCCTCCATGATCTGGCTCTAACCCACTTTTGGAATGTTATCCTTCGGCTGTTCCCTTTTATGGACTCTATGTTCTCTGCTACACCTTCTCAACTTGGAAATCTCTGCCTGGAATATTCCTCACCAAGTCTGCCTGTAAAAAGTCTACTCGTGCTTCATGGCCCAGATCACAAACCCTCCCCAACTCTCTGTCTCGTCCTGATTCGCACAGCATTTTTTCCTTCTGTGGCCTCTATCACACTCTGCCTTGCCTTGCAGGTGACTATGTAAATTCTTAAGCCTGAAGGTGAGATTCTTGGGAGCAGGAAAGATACTTTACCCTTTTGGGCTATTTTTCTCCCTCAGGAGCTTGTCTGCGAATCTAGTCCAGTCTCCTGCCAGAAGAGAGAGAAATCTCAGCATGCTGCCAGCGCTGTTCTTCCACCACATCCCAATTTCTCTGTTGGTTTTGGTGGACATGCAGTTAAGATCAGAGCTCATCACTAAAAACGATCAAACAGCTTCCAAGGTAGCTAAGTCCATCTCAGTCTTCTCATTGGTAGATTCGGGGGGGGCTGAATTTGTCCTTTGTCATTTCACAGAGACATTCTTACCACCGCTCGCACTATGATCCCCCACCGAGCCGACAGGCTGGAGGCCTGCCCCGCTTTCCCGGGGCCAGAAGTCACCGGGGAGCGCTCATGGATTCGCAGCAAGCATCAGGAACCATCGTGCAGATCGTCATCAATAACAAACACAAGCATGGCCAGGGTAAGGGACGTGCTTCTTTGGTACTGCACCCTGTCGGGGCTTCAGCAGCCCTGGTCTTTGGAGGGCTGGGAAAGGACCCTTTCTCCCATACATATCAGACATTCCCATGTGGATCACTCACCATCCGGTCTACCAAGCGAGTGTGGACAAGTGACTCCAGAGGACTGTTAGGACTTTCCTAAATACAGTCCAAAGACCATAGTTTATATTTCAGGAGTATCTGCCCTTATTAAGGACCAAAGGTGAGAAAGCAGTGAGCCTGATGCACCCTCCAGCATTTTCTCCCTTGCCTCTGGGGGTTGAAGGTCATTTGGGAAAGTTTGCTGGGGCTTTAACAGAACGAAAGGCGGTTTGTTTTCCAGCAGGACACCCAATATTCAGAGGTAGTCAGCTTTAAACGCCTCTAGAGCTCTCATCTGAACCGTAGAGACAGCAATTCTCACCCCTCATTGCCCCAGCTTCTCCTGGCACTCTTGTTAAAGGCACTTATTCCAGGCTTCCCACTCAGAGATTCTAATTCGTAGGAGGAGATTATGCTTAGAAGTGAGTAATCCAGTGAGAAATCCAGAAACCTCCTGGCTGAGCACCCATTCGGCCAAGCACTTCCACGGCCCGTTCCCTCCTGCACAGAGTTCTCCAGCCACCGCGTGCACCCCACCCCCGGCGCCTCCCGGCCAGTAGCGGGGGTCGGGGGTGGTGGGGGGAGGAGAAATTCGATCAAACAATTGACTGCTTCTTACTCCTTTAGGCATCCTGTCAACCAGCTCTTCAGAGCAAAAGCTCAGCTGGTTCCTTTTTATGAAACCACAAACATGTTTTGTTTCCTTTAAAGGAGAAACAAATCAAAGGCAGTTCTCTGAATGGGTTAAAAGTAATAAATTATTAAACCAAATGATTGAATAACATGGGTGAAAAACAATCCCTTACAAAGAACTCCTACTATAAATCTCAACAAAGCTGGTCAGGCCAAAGCCAGTTGATCACATCTGTTACTAGTTAGATGTAAATTTCAGATTACAGATAAAAAAATTAAATTGCTTTTGAAACTAACAGGCTTAAAAAAAAGAACATTCAAAATAAAAATCTTAATAAAAAATGGTGAGGTATTAGAAGAATTGGAAATATTTACTATTGATCTGGGTTTGATTTGAAATTTATTATTTTTACATTCCAAGGCATTCTGATATGAATTTATGAAATGAGGAGGAGGAGTTAGGTAAAGATGCAGTTTGGTTTTCAATCCTAAATTGCCTTCAATAGATTCCATTTGCTCTGAAAGTATTTTAAAGCCTTAAAAAACGTGTGGGGAAATGGTCTTTGAAAATCCTAAATCCCATAATTTCCACAGGCCTCTTCATTTTCAGGGCAGAGGCTCATCCCTTGATTTCTCCATGTCCTACAAAAGCCCCAGCTGGTTTACATTTATTCATTGACCCCATTGATACGGATGCAGCTGTTCTCTCCTGACCTTTCTCTATTATAGTTCATTGGAGAGCCACTTGTCCCCTATCTCCGACTCCCAGTGCCCCAGCTGGATGATCGAAATCATCTTGAGAATTTGCTGGTGGGGAGAAGGCTGTGTTTCCCCCTAGAGAGTTGATCTCACCCTGTTGCACTTCAGAGTGTAGGCTCTTACCCAGTCTGGATTATTCCCTTAGTCCAAATGTTTAGGGGACAGGGGACCTGGCTATATAACCCTGGGGGTCCTGCCTGCCCCGCTCCTTAGCCCTCCTGCTAACAGTGTGTTCTTCTGAGATACATACATCTACTTTGTCCCTTGCTAGAGTTCAAGAGGAGAAGCAGTAGGACCCCACCATTCTTGAGTCCAGCCTAAACTTTCTTGAAGGAGAGTCTGCACCCACATGATCTCGTTGTCTAGAGGGTGTGTCACTGTCTGGGAAAGAGAGAGAAGAGGGGTTGGCGGGAGAGAGAACAACACATCTGGTCCATCTTGTCCTGTGATTCCATCAACAGTTTAGATTTCAAGCCCCTGTTCTATCTCACTGTACGATTAGGAGCTTCTCTGGCTTAGGTTCTTGGAAATCTTTACATGGATTGACCTGTTAGAGTGCCTAGTACTCTAGCAGCTCTTGCAGAGGACAGGAAAAGGCAGCCGACATCGTCCATATTTCCTAATGTGACCCAGTGGATTTGATGAGAGAAATAGCCCAATGATTCATCCTTCTGAGGCCATTGTCTTGCAGCCAAATCAGTTCCTAAGAAACGCCCGAAGTGGAGCTACTTTTCCCACCCTCTCCCCGCCTTAAGTGATACAACCCACCCTAGAGATGTTGTTGACTGGGACACCGACAGGTCTCCCTGGGCATGATGAGGTGATGGGAATAATGAGAAACACACCCAGTCCCCGTCATGGCTGGAAATCTCCAGAATGACTCAGCACTTTCAAAACAGAGAGAACTCATTCTCAGACCTCCCTATTTGCGGCTCTGTGCAGGTCTTATACTGGAGCTTAGCTCCGTGCCTTACAGTCAAAGCCGGATAGGTTTTGGTTGGTTTGCACTGAAGGATGTTCCTGTGACTCCTTCCCTTCATAGGCCCCTCAGCCTGCAGCCCAGATGCTTGCTCTTGCAAACCGCACCCCTCCCCCAGAAAACATGGAGCCGGTGACTTCTCTTCCACTCAGCAAATGTGAGACCACCAAAGGGTATCTCTAGAGCAGTCAGTGATTCGCTGGAGCCAAATCTCTGCAGCTACTTTGAGGATACAGGACATTGCCAGAAGATGAGAGGCATAAAAGGCTACCCTTCACCACTTACCTGGGAGGGGTGGGTCCTTTCCTTCTCAATCTTGTCTCAGCACCTTCCTTCCCACTCCAGAGAGTAAGCCAGCACCATTGAGCTCCGTACCCATCTGTGTTAGCAGATCAGATTCTCATAGCATTTGACATTCTGAATGGATTTGCTTCAGGATCTGGAAAAACTTGGCCCTTTGAGAAGACCAGTAGTTTTTGCATCTAGTCTCCCTGGACAGCAAACCTTCCTGGGGGATTTTCATGCCTAGAAGCACATCCACTTGGGCCATCCCAATCCTCTATGGAACTACAGGTCTGAACACTACAGAGGTTCCTTATCAGACACCCTGGACAGCTAGAACTCTGCTTTCATGCATCCATTCATTCCTCCATTTAAAACATACTATTTGATGGCCTACTATGTGTCAGGCCCTTGTGGGCATCCAGAGGCCTCTGCTGAAGATCCTGAATAGTTGCTGCCAGGAGAGCAAGGCACAAGCTGTATTTTGGTTACAGAGGCTGCTCTGTAAACACGTCTCCACGGGCACAACAAGAACAAAGGATGCTTGATGTCTTAAGGGGTTCAGGGCTTGGGCTCTGAGCACCGGGGCCCATTTCAGCTCCCTAGCCTTTAATTTCCAGTCCTGTGTTCTCTTCCAGTGTGTGTTTCCAATGGAAAGACCTATTCCCACGGCGAGTCCTGGCACCCAAACCTCCGGGCATTTGGCATCGTGGAGTGTGTGCTGTGCACCTGTAATGTCACCAAGCAAGAGTGCAAGAAAATCCACTGCCCCAGTCGATACCCCTGCAAGTATCCTCAAAAAATAGATGGAAAGTGCTGCAAGGTGTGTCCAGGTAAAAAGGCAAAAGGTGCGTTGGTTGGAAGCCCTGCCTTTGGTTGACTGAGATCCCCACATAGTCATTCTCAATGTTCTTTGAGTATCAGAAACATAACCACAACCTGCCATATAATTGTAATGGTAATAGTTATACTAATAACTGACAGCAAGCTACGTTCGCTCCTCTCTTGAAGGGCTGATAAGATGGTTGCTTGGAGGAAAGTGACTTCTCAGAAACAGGCTGGGGATTTGCTTGCGTCTACCACACCTTTGGTCCCACGTGGCCCTAAGGGCCGAACTTAAGCCTTGCTTTTCTAAATAGTAGAGAAATTAGGTTATCGTGATTATTAGGAAGGACAATAGCACCCTTTGTTTATATCGCCGTTTAACTCATCAAAGCAGAATCACCTTCATTTTCTCTTTCAGATGGGACTAGAGACAGGTGAGGCATAGTGGAAGGAGAGTGGGTTCTGGTCCTAATAACTAACTTGCTGGGTGACCTTGGAAATGTGTCAGATCTTCTCTAGGCTGCATCATCCTCATCTATACAATGAAAAGTTTGGAATAGTTGATATCTAAGCTTCCTTCCAATTCTAAAATGCTATAACGATATTATCATTTCTCTATTAAAGACAAGAAAACGGAGGTGTATAAAGTGAAGTGACTTGCCCAGAGTCACAGAAATAGATAATAAAACCAAGGTTTGGAACCCAGCTCACTTCCAGCCCATTGTTTTTTCCAGGCCAGTAGAAAATGTTGACTGATAAGAAAAGAAAGACAAATCAGTTACTTAAATGTTGGTTTTGACACACTTGCTAGAGAAAAATACAGTCCGTAGTATCGGGGTTACAGAGTACTGGATTGATAATTAAGCATTCTAGCCCTGGCTCTGCCACTGGTTTCCTGCGTGACCTAGAACAAGTCACTTCACCTCTCTGAGCCTCAGCTTCCTTCTCTGCAAAACGAGAGGGTTAGAGTAGATTTCTTAGGGTCTTTCCAGCTCTAACATTCTAGGACTGAATGAATTAATCACTTCCAGGCACATGAGTTTATCATTTCTTACATCTACCTGCAAAGCACTGTTGTAAACACAGATGAAAAACCAAATGTTTTTAGGGACTGCCCTGGTGGTCCAGTGGTCAAGACTCCACACTCCCAAGGCAGGGGCCCCGGGTTCGATCCCTAGTCAGGGAACTAGATCCCACGTGCCACATCTAAGACCCGGCACAGCCAAATAAATAAATATTTTTTTAAGAAAAACAAATGTTTCTAAGTGTAGGCAGAGAGCTAAATCATTTATTCAATTTAGGCAATTCCTCATGAGTAGCAGACAGACATGAGCTTCGTCAGTGTATTCAGTATATATGTATCTTGAGCATCTTCATGTAGGCCAATGGTTCCCAAACTTCTCTGCACATTGGAGTCCCCCAGAGAGCTTCTAAAAATACCTGTGTCTCTTGGACCAACAACTGAGGACTAGACAGGCCCGGGGATGAGTAGCCCGTCAGTGTGGCTGGACCACCAAGGACCAGAGGGCAGTGTGGAAGGATGCCAGGGTGGACAGAGGACGGAAACGTGGACCAGGTGGTCTCTTCTGCTAAAAACAAGACAACAGGCCCAACATGGAGTCAATTTTGCTAAGCCCCATGTCACCAAATCGAGACAATTAATTTTCACTCTCCCAGAAATGAAATCCTACACCAATCAATCAGGAGTCATCTGATCAGCACTAGTGAGGTCACCTGCCTGATAGACCCATGCCATCCCTTAGAGGAAAGTGCCCTGGCAATAACCAATCCGCTTTTTTTCCAAATATAACTTCCTTGTTCCTGTTTCCTTCTGCCTGTAAAAGTCTTTCATTTTGTACAGCTCCTTGGAGCTCCTTTCTGTCTGTTAGACTAGATGCTGCCCAATTTGAACCAATTTTTGCTCAAATAAACTCTTTTTTTTTTTTAACATCTTTATTGGGGTATAATTGCTTTACAATGGTGTTAGTTTCTGCTTTATAACAGAGTGAATCAGTTATACAGATACATATGTTCCCATATCTCTTCCCTCTTTGTCTCCCTCCCTCCCACCCTCCCTATCCCACCCCTCCAGGCAGCCACAAAGAACCTATCCAGTATCCCTGTGCCATGCGGCTGCTTCCCACTGGCTATCTACCTTACGTTTGTTAGTATATATATGTCCATGTCTCTCTCTCGCCCTAACACACCTCACCCTTCCCCCTCCCCATATCCTCAAGTCTGTTCTCCAGTAGGTCTCTGTCTTTATTCCTGTTTTACCCCTAGGTTCTTCATAACATTTTAGGTACATGTAAAAGTATGAGATTAGATCACTCCCTAACACCATACACAAAAATAAGCTCAAAATGGATTAAAGACCTAAATGTAAGGCCAGAAACTATCAAACTCTTAGAGGAAAACATAGGCAGAACACTCTATGACATAAATCACAGCAAGATCCTTCTTGACTCTTCTTTATCCATTCATCCGACGATGGGCACTTAGGTTGTTTCCATCTCCGGGCTATTGTAAATAGCGCTGCAATAAACATTTTGGTACATGAGTCTTTTTGAATTTTGGTTTCCTCAGGGTATATGCCCAGTAGTGGGATTGCTGGGTCATATGGTAGATCTATTTGTAGTTTCTTAAGAAACCTCCATACTGTTTTCCATAGTGGCTGAACCAATCCAAAAATGGGCAGAAGACCTAAATAGACATTTCTCCAAAGAAGATATACAGACTGCCAACAAACACATGAAAGAATGCTCAACATCATTAATCATTAGAGAAATGCAAATCAAAACTACAATGAGATATTGTCTCACACCAGTCAGAACGGCCATCATCAAAAAATCTAGAAACAATAAATTCTGGAGAGGGTGTGGAGAAAAGGGAACACTCTTGCACTGCTGGTGGGAATGTGAATTGGTTCAAATAAACTCTTAAAACTAAAAAAAAAAAAATACCTGTGTCTCATCCCCTGAGATTATGATTTGATTGATTTGAGCTGTGGCCTGGGGGTTGGAATTTTAGAAGATCCCCACACGATATTAATTTGCAGACAAGTTTGGGAACCACTGCTGTAGGCCCAGGGTAGTTTATGTTTTTGCTAATCAAAGTGTGGTTTATGGACCAGCAGCATCTGGGAGCTAGTGAGAAAACCAGACTCTCAGGTCCCACCCCAGACCTGCTGCATCAGAATCTGCATTTTGACAAGGTCCCGCAGGTGAGTGCAATGCACATTAAAGTTTGAGAAGCACTGATTTATGGCACAAACAAAATCTTTCTTAATGTAACAAGCTTCGTCTTCCAGAGAAGGGGCAGAGTGCGGGTAGGAAGGACAGGAGCTATCTGATATGGAGTGGAGAATTGGGGCATTAAAATTGTTGAGGAAATATACTCACTAGGGGCACGGAGAGAGCACATTCTGAGGATATGAACATGGCAGCCACCCAGCCATGATGACCTATTGTAACTTCCAAGTCTGCCACCTCACTGGATCCCCAGGCTTTTTAGTGTCACTTGGAAGTGGTTCTACCAGCACAGTTTTCTCTCTTGTCAAGGGTCTAATGCCTATCATCATAAAAGTAATACAACAAGATAATTTCATACACAAACTAATAGTTACCTAAACTACCCAGGTAAGATAAACCCTCCCACTATATAATATTCCAATTTGAATCTCACACCTTCAGACCACATCCCATTTCTTTGTGTGGTTAGGATTGTATTGCTGTATGTGATTCAAATAAGACTGAAGGAATCAGAAAGGTGTGAGCACAGTACACAGGACAGGCGTTGCCTTTCAGGTGGTGGCATTTATTAAAACCTTTATGTTCATACTCTCTGGCTAAGCAGTTCTACTCCTAGAAATCCAAAGAAAGTGATCAGAGACGTACAGAGATATACAAACAAGGATTTTTGCTGCAGTGCTGTTTACAATAGTGAATTATTGGGAACAAGCTGAAAGTCTACCAGTATGGAAATGGTTAAATAAATTATGGTATATCTGTACTGTGGCGTATTATATAGCCATTAAAAATCACTATAGAACAAGATTTAATGGCACAGAAACATACTTGCAATACATCTGTTAAGTACAAAATCTGCAAGCTAGAAAACAATATGTGTATTATGATCTAGGTCACACAGAAAACCAGTGGCAGAGCCAGGGCTAGAATGCTTAATTATCAATCCAGTACTCTGTAACCCCAATACTACGGACTGTATTTTTCTCAAGCTCGTGTGTCAAAACCAACACTTAAGTAACTGATTTGCCTTTTTTTTTTTTTTTAATCAGTCAACATTTTCTGCCGGCCTGGAAAAAACAATGGGCTGGAAGTGACCTGGGTTCCAAACCTTGGTTTTATTATCTATTTCCGTGACTCTGGGCAAGTCACTTCACGTTATACACCTCAGTTTTCTTCTGTTTAATAGAGAAAGCATTGATAATATGCTTAGCCAAAAAAAAAAAAAAGACTGGAAGGGCATATGGCAAAATGTAACAGTGGCCACATCTTTGGGTGACTGAATGATGGGTAGTTCTTATTTTCTTCTTTTTTGTTTATCTGTATTTTCTAAATTTTCAACAATAAACGTGTATGACTTTTGTAATTAGAAAAAGTAATAGAGGCTATTATTTAAAAAACTGCCCTCAGAATCCCAATTGGCAATATATTGAAGAGCCTCATTGACAATGTGTTTCTCTGGAAGAGTGGCTTTTCCCGCTTTCCCGTGCTGCTCAGACGTGTAGAGCTAGAGGACTTACTGGGCAACATGGAAGGAGAGAGTGTCTGTCCCATTCTGTCACCTGCCCTCAGCAAGCCACACATGGATGTCTGCAAATTGAAAGTCTCCCAATAGTCACGTTGCCTTACAAGAGTCACTATCCACGGAGGCCCGGGTACTCAGCAACTTCAGATCCTCAAGGGGCATGCACTTGTTCACGCAGCATGCAATCTGGAAACACATATTATGTGCCTTCTGTGTGCAAGACACTGTTGTAGGTGTTGAGAATAGGGAGATAAAGCAGACAGACTCAGGCTGCTTGCCGGTAATGCTCTTTACATTCTAGTGGGAGGAGAAAGGCAATGAACACAAACCGATAAGGTAATTTTCAGTGGTGATGAGTACTGAGAAGAAAAAAACAGACAGGATCAGGTGATAGTGAATGGCACAGGCAGGGTGAAGTGCTTTCAAAAGGCTGGTCAGGGTTGGCTTCTCTGAAGAACGATGTTTGAGTAGAGTTCTGAGTGATGTGAAGGGGTGAGAAAGGGAAGATCATGACATCCTCAGCCTCTTAGAAAATGACACAGGACACAGAGGAAAAGGAATAAAGGAGTGAGGGGAGAAGAAAAAAGAATGGTAAATTCAGTTATTTACATTGAGAAGGGAAAAGAGACAAATAAAATTCACTGATGATCCAGCCAAAAGTTTCATTAGAACAAATGATTGCAGGCCCCTCCAGTAACAAACTAAGGCCAAAATAAAGGATGTGAGTTTCACCTCTCTCTCTCTCTCTCTCTCTCTCTCTCCCTCTCTCT